AGCCTTAATTTTGAAAACAAAATGGTTGGAAATGGAAAATACAGCTGTGAATTGAACAATTCTACACACGGAGAACACGACGAAGACTTTGTGGAGGCACCAAATTTCCTTTACCGCGGAACAAACGTAAGATCATTAAATTTTAACGTTATCCAGTCTCCGAGCCTATTAATACCATAACCCAACGCCTCGTCCAAAGGGAAATGGCTGGAGCTCACCCTTTGGGCTTGACTGTGTTACAATATTTTGCAAAGATCAAAAGTTAAGGAGATAGTTTCTGTTTGTGATAACTGCACGGGATGATGTGAATATTATGGAATTTGACGCGCTGAGGGCCAGGTACGTCATTTATGATGGCAGCCGAGTTGGCCGTCATATTGGATGTCATTGAAAATTCAGATTTATCGCAATGGAGTAAACGCAAACCATCTTTCTTTTGAACCCTCCCCCCCCCCGACTAAATCTGACACCTACACTAGGTCTCTTCCTTTCGCCAGCCATTCTCATTTACTCTCTGAAACGCAAGTTTTTCTCCCTAGACAGTTTTGTTTCAACTGTAGCCGTTTTTCAGAAATTTCACTTTATTATTATTTTAAGATCGAAAATTTTTGTTATTACCTCTTAAACTGCAAGTGCCTCCCAAAAGAAAGAGTTTTTTGCTACTTAAATAACATGAACAATTCAATTTAACTTGTTAAACACCTTAAAACAACACCCCCTTATGTATGTAAGACGGGCTAATCCCTAAACCCGACGCTTAGAGTTGGGCTCTGACAATCTTTACTCATTTTCCTTGAATCATGATAAGGCGGACACCTCTAGCAAAGGTTTCGAAAGGCTCAGAAGCATAAAGCAATATCTCTTTTCCGTAATATTTTCCCCAGAATCCTTGTGGTAGTTCTCCATGCAAAAATAACGGGACTTGTCAATCAGGATTTACCAAGAAAGGATATCACTGCTTGTGTCGTCGAGGCTGGACAGGTGAAAGATGCCAAGATGGTAGGTCTGAAAAATGAACTAAATGAACGCAGTAGTTATGAAACCACGCAAGCTGTACCGCACTTAAAAGGAAGAAACCATATGTGAGAACATTAATTTGAAAAAAAAGTATATAATCCGCTGTAATATTAGCCCTGCCATTGTCGACAAAATCATCACAAGCGCAACAAGCGCAGGGCGTTCCAGACGGAAGCAGCATTTTCAGGAGCTTGTGCATTGATGAAAGAGTTTTCCTTTCACTTTGGAGTGGATTCAGGATTTGCGGCACGTTTCTCTTTACTTTCACCTTCGATTAGCCTAAAATTCTCGATCTGAGTTATAATTTGAAGTTGAGTTAATTTTCGGTGGACTGTCGACCTGTCGTGTAAACGAGACAGTTCCACTGTCCAGTCATCGTTTTCTTTGCAAAGTAACTGAATGAGTCTTTTAATAACCATCTTCACCTAGATATTAACGAATGTGATGAAAACAGTCACGAGTGTAGCCAGAACGCAGATTGTACAAACACAAAGGGATCTTACAGATGCAACTGCAAGACTGGATTCTATGGAGATGGATACAACTGCACAGGTATCCCAGTGTTTACTTGGGTCCTTAGTTGTTGTAAACAGTTTAGAAAATATCCATGCAGCTAACATCAATGAACTGCAAAAGATCATCCTCTTAGGAAGGACACGTATACTAAGAAGATTTCTATCCATCCAGTAAAATACCCCTCTAGGACCCCAGGAATGGGCCAGTTTCTAACAGACTACAAGGAAAAACAATAACATCAATAATAATAATAATAATAATAATAATAATAATTAATTAATTAATTAAAGAGCCGGTATCCAGAAGAAAAGGTAGAAGAGTGGATTTTGAATCCAGCGTGCTGATGGAAGTGGAACGCTCAGTTATAAGGGAGGTATTATTTCTCTGGCCAAGAAGACGAAAAGGGAAGCTTATAACAGAAGTATTATGCTAGTATACCGTTGATCTATTTGCTTAGGAAAGAGGGGGAGAGAAGACTTAAAAGAAAGGGCGGCTTATTCACTGTCTTCCGCTTTACAAAGAATATAAAGGCAAGTGAGAAGTAAGTGGTTAATTCACACTATTACAACGTTATTCTAGAGATCAACGAATGTCAAGAAGAACTGAGATGCGGAAAGGACGCAGCTTGTACGAACACTGAAGGATCTTTCAGATGCACCTGCAATATTGGTTACTATGGAGATGGATACATCTGCACAGGTATACCACTGTTAGTGCAAACTTCCCAAGACTGAAAGCAGTTGGAAGCGAGGGTAAAAGACAGCACTGATTGATCACCATCAGAAAAACAGCCTGAAATATGATGATGTTTACCGGTTTGAGGTTGCCAATAGTTCCCGGTAAAAAAAAAAAAGCGGCCAATAAAGTGTTAACAATAACTGCTGCACTAGATGGAGAATTTTCTTCCTTTAGCGTATGTAAAAAAACTGTGCATTGAACACCAATCAGTCTTCTATAGTCTGAGGCA